CCCGCGAGCCCGGCCCTGCGTGAGCAAGCGTCTGACCCAGCTCCTCCGTGGAGCACTGTGTGGACGCAGCTCGCTGCCAGGCGCTATGGGGGCTCAGGTATTCCTGCACAGCGCTCATTATGGGATGTGGACCGTTCCTGTTTCCCATCAGCTCCAGCACCGCTGCGGTTACTGGGGCGTTTTGAAATCTGCCACACAAATGATAAATCTGGCCATTCAGAGAGCTGCTTTCCACGTAAAATGAGAACGTTTGTGGAGGAGATGCTGCCTAAATACCTTTAAATATTTTTCCATGTTTAAAGGAAAGGAGAGAGTGTTACTTCAGCAGTTTTATGCCATCATGTCTTAAAAAAGCATATGAATTTGGTTATATTTCCTGAGGATTTGATAGTGTATTTTCATTTTACAAGAGAGATGAGAGAGACTATTCAAAACAGCAAAGCATGAGGAAACTGAAAGGAGAAGCTGGAATTCCTCAGGTTAATTTAGCAAATGTTTCAGTGTTGTGAATTAAGCAAGTGAAGGCAAACAAGAAGGGGGGGGGGGTAGTGCTTATAATTAAATAATCGTACAATGAAATAAGTAATATAACTCCCTCAAAGTGACCTTTCTGAGGGGAAGAAAGGAATATCGGCCCTTAAGATTTCTCTGCATAAAGATGGCATAGAACAGTAGAGAAACTGTGACAGTAACGCGTGTGGGATGTCACCCGGCTGCCTGCACACTTAAACCCAGGAAGAACTGTCTCTAGCAGCTCAGTCCTCTCTGGAGCTGAGGGCTCGGAAGGTGATCGATTGAATGTTACAATTGGGAAGTTACTTCCCTTTTTTTTTCCTTGTCTGGTGAGTTTCTGCCTCTCATTTCAACCTCTGATTTATTTTACCCTTGTAACCCTTACAGAGCAGGCTATGCATTGCTTTTTAAACTACGAATAAAATGTGATCGAGTATGTCAGGCCATGAATTTAATCTGCTGAGCCCCCGGAAGCTTTATGAACCTGAGGAATGTACCAGAAACTCAATGTCTCTGAGTTTAAAGAACAGTTTAAAAAATACCTATTCAAGCCCACAGTAAGCCCTGCTCAGGTTTCCCCTGGTTGCGGTAAGGCTCTGCTCTTCCCGAGCTGCACTGACTGTTTCCATTTTTTGAATGTACAAAGAAATAAACAGGGAAACACACTTTTCCAAGTTTTTAAAGTCCATCTCGTGATAAATCTATCAAACCTGATGAATTTAGCAAACAGAATCCTGGAAATCCGTGACATTTCTATGTATTATGAGCAATGAAAAACCAAAAGCAGCTGAACGAATCTGATCACTTGGATTCATTTGCTGCATTTTTAGTGCTTGTTTCACACACTGACTTGCTGTTGTTTTCTTTTTTGCTCTGTAGTAACGGTACACACTTGCAGTATTAATAGAAACATTTTGGTGTCTTTTCCAGATGACAGCCCTAGAGAAGGCCACTGGTGACGTTGTGCTCAAGTTTGAACCGTTTGTTCTTCATGTGCTATGTCAAGAGCTGCAAGATGCTCAGCTTGTGGTAAAACTACACCAGTAACAACCTTGCACTGTTGTTCTGTTCTATTCCTGGCTGTAAACGTAAAGTATTTGCTCCCAAGTAAGCTTCAGCACTTGAGAGTATTCCCAGATGTGATGTATGTTTCATAACTAGGGTAGGAAAAGCAAGCTGATGGAGAAAACACAGCTTTAAACTTAGCAGAGAGTTTGCTGAAGTTTTAGAAAACAAAATTATTCCAAAATTTTCCCCAGTGAGTCTGAGTCGCTTTGGCTGGCTGAAAGTGATGGGCTTCTACGTGCAGTTTGTCTCCAGTCTTTCAACTAATTGAGCAGTGCTTTTGCCTTCTGCTCCCTCAGAATGTCTCTGGAGAGTGGTGCTTGATGGGTTTGTTCCTTCATTAACGTAGAAGGGAGCTAATTAGCTTCTTTTACAGTACTGCTGAACTTCTAGCTGTAAAAGTGTTGCACCAATGTCTGTGGGGTTCCCAGCTCTTCATGCTGGAGCAGTGGAGCTCCCGAGAGACATTCGTGTCCCATCTGCACTGACAGATTAAGATTAGACACTCGGGAGTGACTGTGGTTCTTGGAAAACCAGCCACGATTTGTGTGGGTTTGATCTTAAAAACATGTCAGTGTAACTGTTACTGCACACGTGGGGAGACGGCAGTGAGTAAGTGTCTTTGCAGAACTGAGACTGCAAGTTACATTGCAACCCGTCATGCTTATTTCTTGCTGTGAAAGCATGGAAGACCTGTTTAAAGCATTTATTTGTTCTGCAGCATACAGTGGCTGTCAATTCTGGGTTCAGGAACTCTGGGATTACAGTTGGCAGAGGAGGAAAAATTATGATGGTAAGGACTTTTCTACTTCCCTGTAAGGAATGTAACCAAATCGTATCATTGCTGTTAACCTGGGTTTATACAAGCCAAGATATGAACTGGACAGTGACAGACAGCTGTCACAGGCGTGCTGTAGCAAAAAAATACCTTTCTGCTTTGGCTGACAGCAGACTAACCAATCCTGTGGATAAGTGGGCTCTTTCCTGTAATGAACTCCCCATATTGTTTAAATGATCTTCATAAAATAAAACCCTTTACTCTAGATAACTCCCTCTGTGTGTGTGTTTAGGCTGTCCGGAGCACTCACTGCTTGGAAGTTCCCTTGACCCACAAGGGGAAATTGATGGTGTCTGAGGAATACATGGAATTTCTGATAGACATTGCTAATCAGAAGATGGAAGAAAACTCTCGGAGGATTGACAGGTTTGTGAGATGACACTGGTCCCGTCTGTCAGGTGTGAAAAGACAAAACCAACCACCAAACCAGACAGCTTCCCAAAGTCTCAAATACAACGTCAGTTGGTTTTTTGAGCTCCGACTAAACCACTTAAGCAAAAACCCACAAACAACATGTGTTTGCAGACTGTTACTGAGTAGTAGTAGTTTAAGTTACTTTGTCTAGTGATAACAGCCTGTTACTCTGACACAGTAACTGTTTCAGAAGCATTCATATTCCAACACGCACTTTAATCCACCAAACCCTCTGTATAGTTTCCAAACTGGTGATTCATGAAGGCGGTGGAAGGTTACAAGTGGGTCTTTGCATTTGCCTCTAGCTGAGGAAACAAGCTGAGGACCCAAAGAAGAAACATCTACTGGCCTAAGACCAGTTTCTTTTTGTATGGCCTTGATACTGAATTAAACAAGTATTTCATTGTGTATCGGTTTGAAATCCCTCTGGTCGTTAAAAGGAATTGCTAATAGTAGCAGCCTGTGTGATCATTAATGCCATCGTTCATCAGACATTTATCCTTGTCCCGGTGTATGGTTTCTGTAAGATTACAGGGACGTAATGGCACACGAGCACACGCACTGACTGGTTCCTAACGCAGCATTACAAAGAGCATGCACAAGACGTGTGCTGATAGTTCTGATTTTTCTGCCAGTGTTGGCTGGAACACTAACATTCAAGAGTTTCCTCTCGTGGCACTTTGGATTAGAGCACAGAAGTGTCAGTTTCTCAGAGCAGATCCTGAGCAAACCTACAAAAATAACAACTACACAGTTGTTTGTTTCTAGATTCTACAAATGCTTGGAGTTGGCTTTGGAAGCTGCCACCAGTGCTGACGCCTCACCTGAGGAGGCGGAGAAGAACCATGCCGTGTACACTCACAGGAGAAAGAGGAAGACTGTTCAGGAACAAGATGCACACACCTCCCCAAAAGATCACAGTGAAAAACCAGAGCCTGAGGATGATGCAGAAACCAACCTTGGTATTTTTTCTGAACTGATGATATAGACTAAGGCATTTGAAAGCAAATGGCAAACTGAATAATCTTTGTAATGCTCTTTGTAAGACATACAAACTTCTCTGTTCTAAGTAGTAACATCCTTGTGGACATTTACCAGGAAGAAAGGTAATTAAACCGAATTGTGAACAGGATTAATGCCACAGAAGCACAGAGAACGAAACCTCAGAATGCTGCAGGGTTTTTAACAGCACTGTTGAACCAACAATCTCTTACTCTGTCAGTTATCACAGAAATAACTGGTTTGCTGCCTCCTTTGGCCATGTTCTCTGTGGAGACATTTCACTTCCAGATCCTGGGTTTAGGCTGTCTGGCAGAGCAGAGAAACCATGAAAACTGGGGGGTTGTCCTTGAAGGCTTTTAATCCCTGCAGGACCTCTGCAGAGCAGCGTGCACCAATACAGGTGGCCCTTTCAGACCACACAAAGCCACATGTCAGTCAGTGGAAGAGCAGTACGTGCTGTGGAGGTGAGGAGAGCAGAAGCTGTGCCCTGCTCTGTGCTGGCCATGGCACGTGCATCCAAGGTCCTTCCTGAGCAGTGCACTGGGCAGCACAGTTGATGCTGTTCTCCTGCCCCTCACTGCTTCAGGCCCCAGCCCTGCTGTGCTCTTGTTCTGCTTCCCTTGGCCAGCGGCCGTTGTTATTCTTTCTTTGCACCTTGTAGCCAGCCCCGTGTGCTGATAGTTCCTTACATGGCATCCTACGTGGCCAGCACCCAGCTTCAGTTCCAGCCCTTGGGCAGAAAGTAAAGTGTACAGCACTGGGCTTTGGTACCACTGTGAACCACTGACATGCAATGTTAGCTGTGAAACAGTGTGATGCTCTGTGTGTTCCTGTATGGGACCACTGGAAAAGGCACCCCGTACTCATAGTGTGAACTTGTAAACCTTAGAACAGGGAATTCTGAGCCCAGCCTTGTATGGCGAGTGATGGCTAACACTGCAGAGCAAGGCCCTGCCTGAAGGAATGGTCTCTGGTGCAGCAGTTCCAGTTCACAGGGGGAGGGAGCCATCATTGTTTCCATTACTTGAGCCCACGGGTTGGGGTCATTTTAACTCCACTGTAAAAACTTGGCACAGGAAGTGACAGGCAAAGGGAAAAGTGATTGGGGGCTTTAAGTAGATTCTGGAAGACCTGTTGGCCTGCATGTCCAGAAACAGGCATGCCAGAAAAATAAACTTGATCCTTTTGTGTTCTTGTCTGTGTTAGTGACTTGCAGCTTGAACAGCCCCGTGCACCTGCTTTCACCCTATTTCTGGTGGCTTGAAAGGGCTCAGGACGTGGTTAGGGCATGGGAAAGTGAGCGGCCAACACATTTCTATTCCTGCAAGAAGACTGCAGTCAAGTAAAGGGGAGCAGGAGCAGGGTCTGCTATTTCCCTCCGTTGTGGAGGGGCAAGACACTGGTAGCACATATGGAAGATTAAAAAGTAGCAGCTTGTGAGGTGACCAAGTACATAAGATGTTGAAATACTACAAGAAACAGTGATATGCTGTATACACTGTTCTCAAACCTCATGTACTTGGGAGGACTGATCCTTGCTTGAGTCTAACTGTCCCACAGCCTGTGCTGCAGCAGGCGGGAGCAGCCAAGGGTCCTTGGGGCACGTGGCTGCCCCTGCGTTAGCAGAGTAGAGCACTTGCTTCAGGCCTTCACAACAGCAAGTTTTCATAGACCTTCCTTTCCATTCTGAGGCACAACCATGTTTCTTTGAACTGAAGCCCCAAAACTTCCACCAATAAACAGCAACGTTTGCTTTGTTGTGGAGGGGCGAGTGGACCTTGCTGGATCTGTGCTACCCCAGCAAAGCCCTGGTGAGCTGATGGCTGTCCCCATCCCAGTCCCCATCCCCATCCCTACTGGTGGGACTCGCTGGCTGTCCCTGTCCCATCCCCATCCCACAGGCCCCTCCTCACCAGCCAGCGGGCAGCTCCATGCAGAGGAGGCCAGTGTTGCTTTTAAAGGCAGGGGGTGGATTTCAGAGGGCTTGTTCAGAACAGCCTGACCTGTACCCTGCATTTAAAGCAGCCTCAGCAAGTTCTGGTACCAGGCAGCAAACCAGTGGCTGTGGAACAGTTGGTCCTTGCAGTGGTGTCAAGTGAAGGGCAGGGTGGTTGGTGCTGCGAGGCTCTGCTCTGTTAGACATGGCTGTAGATGCTGTTAAATGGACGTGAGCAGTTGCCCCACTCTGCAGGGCGCTGCTCTTCCACCACACATGGGAAGGTAAAATTCAGCACAGAAAAAGCTGAGGTGCGAAGGAACCACATCAGACTTCAGGCCCAGCCCAAAGAGTCCGTATTGTTGAGCCCAGGAGCCTCTTTCAGAGTTCAGACTGGGATAACGGCCAGGTCTGTACCGTCATGAATGCACCCGTGTGAGGTGGGAGAGGGATCACGGGCACTGGTTCTGTGTAGAAACCGGGACTGTGGGACGCTTTCAAGGGGCCACACGTTGGGAGCGAAGAGTATTCAATGCAACTACTTCATTTTTGGGGGAAGCTGCTTTTTCCTTTTACCTTTTTCTTTTTTAATGCAATCCAAGCACTACAATAATGTCCCGAACCCTTACAGTGTGTAGCAGCACGCACAGGATTTGCATCCTTAGAAACAGGGTTTGTCAGGAACTGATGTGTGATACGATCCCACATTCCTCTTAAAAATGATGCCAAATTCAAGGAGAATTTTTGACAGTCTTGACCCAGAAAGGTGACCCAGAGCATTACTTCATACCTGCTAACTCCAATTACTGAACACTCCTGAGGACCTCATACAGGAAAACAAAACAAGACCCTACAACAAGAACAAGCAGCCTGTGATTCTCCATGATCAGGGAATTGTGTTACTGCAGTGCTTAAAATATCGAACGGTTTTACAAGGTTCTCCCGATTTTTCACCTCCTGAAGGCTCAGCTCCTATTTCCAGCCCCCATAACTAATTCTGTTACACTTCCAACACAGCGCTCGGCTGCAGAAGCCCCTCAGACAGAAAAGGCTTCATGCAACAGGAGGCTGCAGCCCCTGGAAAAGCATCTCGGGGGTTCACAGCAGGGAAAGAGGCACCGATAAGCCACACGATT